CCTCTGGGGTGGGTCCTAATGTGCCCCATGAAAGCATTGTTCCTGGGCTAGAAACCAGGAAAACCTGGGTGAGCCTATTGTTATAGATGGCTCTTTGGCGTATAAGAATAACGTATATAATATGTGTAAAAGGAAAAAAAACGCGAATAAAGCACAGAAATGGACAAAGTATAGTTTCGGTTCTGTAAATATATATTTATTGGTAACAAATAACAAATACCAGGCTTTAGCAGTCAAATCATTAAGTGTTCTGGCTTTCCAATATTTCTGAAAAATGCAATTCATACTTTTAAGAACGTGTCGGTATGGCAACTATCCATGGTTGCAGCTTGTACTCCAATTTGCTGTCAGACAGACAGTAAGCCGAAGAGTCCTTAACCTATTAATGCTTAAACCACAAAAGTGTTCAACATATGAAAAGCCCCAATATAAAAAAAAGGTAGTTCATATTTGTTTACACCAAGTGGATCATCTGTTCTGTTATTTACCTCTTTAGCTATTAAAAAGTACTATGCTTTGACTTTCTATCAAAATATAAATATTTATATCACTGATATATTGCGAAGATAGTACTACCTCTGTTTTTTGTAAAATTAATGCAAATAATGAAGCACGCGTGGCATCACTTTTTTTTTTTGGAAAAAGGAGCCATCCAATAAAAGGACGCTGTGCAAAGGGAACAAATTTGCTAAGTCTAATTTCAAAGATATGGTCATTGAGCGAATCGCGTTCAGCGAAAAGACGAAAAATGGCAAACAACAGAATTTCGTGTGAGGTTCGGGATTGCACATCCGCTAGCACATAAATATAATCAAGCTTCTCCAAGCTAATGCATTCAACTCCAAGTTAAATATTTTCTCAAATTCCATTTTGATGAGAAATTTAGCAAAATGAAAAGTCAAAGAATGATTGCGTCTCCGCAAAACAGTGGTACCTATTATGGCGAGGTAATCAGCTCTTTTTTTACCTTCCACTCCACAATGGAAAGGAACCAACTGGAACCTACTAAACCAGCAAGTAATTTCAAAAGAGTCCTAGATTAAAAAAGACGTTTAGAATTGCATATTTTATTATTGCAGGTTCTGTAAACAAGAATCTTCCCCGGAGTCTGAACACAAAGTGACAGTAGGAAATTAACGTGTTTACTTTTCTGCAGTCTTTTGGTGTTTGGACACAGAGGAAGGCTCTTGTTTAGGGAACCAAAGCTATAGTATGTCCATTTCCTTACTTTGTGCTTTATTTTGCTTCAGTTTACATAGCACAAAACATACACTGTTCTTCTTTTGGATAACGTGTATGTACGCTAATAATTTTCCTATAAAATCAATTCTCAAAGGCCTTTAAATCACCTCATATTACTATTTTCCGCATTCAATGAAAGTTTAATACACAATATAGCAGCATAGAAAACATCCCGTGAAAATGTTTCTCTTGCTGGCCAAATTATGACCGTTTTGGAACGACATTCAATGACAGTCTTAGACAAATTTGAGTGCTTCAGTGGTCAACATGGAAGATAGGTAGGTGATCAGGTTACAATGGGTTTACTCCCTTTTAGTAAATAAGACAAATTCGGTTCTTGGTAAAAGAGGTTAACTTAGACATGTTGTCAATTTACTGGTAAACGGGTTTCACTGAACAATGGTTATGGTTCAGCAATGAACTTATTTTTATGAGAGTATAATCCTATCTCTAATTAGCTATTTTTGTTAGTTTCTATTTTTGGTTTGAATGCGTGTTTTAATCACTGGTATATTTTGTTTTCATTTTAATGTTTTTCTTCGCTTGTTTCGTACAATGTTTTTCATTGCATGCTTTTTTAAAAGGCGTTTTCATGTTTTAGCAGTGTTCAAGTTTAGCAGTTTTATGTAAAGCAGCAAGTTTAGAGTAGTTTTTAAAGCGTAATCAAGTGACTTTTCTCTGAATGTAGATAAGTAGTTTTACTGAATATTGATTAAAAAACTTTTAATAGTTAATGTACAGTAGTTTAAGACAAAAATTCGCAGACTTTCTTATACAGTTCTGTAAAAGAATCGTAGGTAGCCTGAAAGATGTATTGCGTATCTCTGGAACATTTCTCAAACCTCTGGTGCATACAGTTTCGATTGTCATCAATATGCCTAAAGAGAAATTAAGTTTTAAACAATTAGCAGCAGGCAAGTTCATGAAAACAATCATAAATTAAAATAAAAACTTAATAAATAAATATATACGACATTAATTTGTAGTAAATAAATAAAACATTACAAGCATAAACATTTAATAAATTAATAAAAATACATTTGTAATGTGCAATAAAACGTATAATTTTATTTGATAAATTGGAGATAGAAATTCTGCATAAAATTGAAATTATAAAGATAATAGTACTTTAAATTATAAAGACAAAATCATTTTTTTTAATCTATCGGCTAATTTTTACATTTAATAAAAAACTATTAAAACTTTTGTTTTAATAATTAAGTTCCTTATAGTTTTTAATTTTAATGTGACCCTTTATAAAATACCTTTCTGTACAGTTGGTATAAAAGTATCTTATTTTTAAAAAACAACAATTTAACGCCCCAGATAACAGCTTTTCTTTTAATTATGACGAAACCATTTCAGCAAAATATAGTCTAATTTTAAACCGTAAATTGGTGCAATTAGTTTTTGACGTTGATTTCATTAATTTCGATGCCGATGCTCGTACTGTCTGCCCGATTCCATTTACTCTAGAATTTCACATTTTTCATGCAATGTTCACGCTTCATACTAACGAACAGCTATCATGTTTCATACGGTCTGAAGTGGAGGACATGATTTTCAAACTGAATTACGTTATTGATAATTAAAAAGAGAGATGAATAAAACAAAAATTAAAACATTCCGATATCTTTTTGGAAAAATTAAAGCAAAAAATTCGCGAAACGTTCAATTTGTTCTCAAATAAAATGACCAACTGTTGGCCAGCCGTATTGCATAAAGTGTCCTTCTATTTTGAAAGCCTCATGTACAACTGAAGTATGACAACATTTTATTGAAATCGGATAGGGCACATAAAAGGAAAACCTTTCAAACTAATTTTGGCGGAGCCGTGATGGCTCAGGGGATAGAGCGTTCGCCTTCCAATGAGGCGAAACGGGTTAGAATCCCAGTCGATACGAATTACGTATCCGGCTTGCACCGACCACAGCGCTAACGTGAAATATTCTCAGTGGTAGACGCATCATGGGTTAGAGTCCCCTTGCCGTCAGGCTAGCCGTGGGAGGTTCTCATGGTCTTCCTCTCCATGTAGCGCAAATGAGGGCTAGCTCCATCAAAAAGTCCTCCGTGAAGGCAAATTTCTCCCAATACTCGATCCAGTAGTTCCCTTGTCTTCTGGATTGGGTTCAAAATTACAAGACTACGGAATTGAACATTAGCAGTCGTAAACCCATAAAATTGGGTAGCTGTTCAACGAGCTTATTAAAAAAAACTAATTTTGACCGAGAGAGGTATATGGAAAAAATTCTACTAAACATTAAATTACAAAAAAAAAGAAAAAAAAAAAACAAACAAAGAACTTACTCGCAAGCATTGTTATTTTCACCATTATAATGTTTTTGTTTTGGTTCCTTTCTGTCTTTATTTTGACGATCTTTACAATTTTCAAGTAAAATTTCCATTCCACAATTTTTATCGCCTTTAATAGCTAAAAAATGAAGGAAAATAGAAATGTTAGATGAGTTTTATGAATATTTGCCCGACATTCGAAAGCACTTTGGTCCAAAGAAACTAAATAATCATAAATCGAGAGATAATGAGAACATAGTGTAGCCGTTATAGTCAAAATAGTTAAGACACGTAAAGATAATGTAAATTAGAATTATGTAAAGAAGTAGTATCCATTTCAATATCATTTGTTACATATTTTTGTGCGCTAGAAATTGTATCGAAATCAGCAAATTCCCCGTATGTGGAATTATTGCAGAATGTCGGACAATTAAGCATTTTACATATTTGTATGTATAGTTGAGAGTTTTAAGGTAATAACAAGGTTTAACAATTTTTTTTTATATTTTTAACCGTGGTCAATAAATTGACTTGAACGAATGCTGAAATCAATCATCTTCCATGAGACAAATTAGGGCGAGTTAAGTTTAAGCGAATTGTCTTTTTATTTTAATATTCCTTAAAACTCGACAACTATTTGCGAATCTAAACTTATTACATTATTTAAGCAGGAAACTTCTTATATGTCAGTTAATAGAAAATGATTATTTTCAATTCGCCAACATAACTGCGTTGCAATAAAGGCCGAAACAAAGAATTCTAAGTGATGGCATATCAGTGCATAAAAATGAATTAAATATTTATATATTTTGTTACTCGTTTGATTACGATAAATTTTGATTACTCTTCTGATAACGAAATAAAAAAGTTTTAGTCAATTTAAATGTGAAAATTTGAATATATTCCATCAGCTAGGATCCTAAAATTTGATTCTGACTTCCAGAAATTCTGAATTGTTGTCTACCCTTGTAGTAAGTATATTTTTATTTATTGAGAATTTTTTAAATGAGTTAAGTACATAATATTACTAATTTAATATATTCTGATTCATATTTAAAAAAGTACCATTGTAGTAATATGTTCCTTCTGTACACAGATCATTTTGTATGGATAATGCTTTCTCTGCCAATTGCTCGAATCCTGTTTTACACGATGTTGAAGCTTCATACATGCATTCTGTTAACGGTTTAATCATTCTAAAAAAGTATATCAAATTTATGAGTAAAAGTGAACAAATAAACACATAAATATAGAAATAAAAATATTTCTATAGTAGTTATAGTTAAAATTACACTGTTTGAACCAAATAGGGTCCGTTCGGGTAGGCGAGTGTCGAGGAAACTTGACATACGTTTACGAACAACAGAAATAAAAAATTTGGAGTAAAGAAAGTCTGTCTAAAATTAAATATAAGTTTGGCTAGTCTGCAGGCACTAGAGTTTTGTCGAGTCTCTTCTATCTCCGTGCTTGTTTTGGAGGAAAAACAGATTAGCATCTGAGGGAGAGGTGCAAGTACTCAAGATTGAATTGGAGCAACTATTGGTTTATATTATAAATTCAAAAAAACTCATCCTGCCATCAGATCACGGCAGCAATACGATCAATTGTCTCAGTGTATCAACGGTATCAACAAAATGTTCCAGTCTTGATGGTCTATCTTAAGCATACTATAGAACCACATACGAATATAAATAACAAATTTCCTTGTGAGAAAAAGTGCGATGCTGCTGCAAAAAATTCCCTTCAGTTAAACTATGCATTAGATAGCATTAGACAGACAATTGTTGGGTTAGGGCGAAGATGATTCAACGGAAGATTGAGGATCTCGATTTAAAGATAATCTACTTGTAAATGTTGTGATTTTATTCTGATTAGTGAAGGGCTCTTTTTATTATTTCTCATCCTTTTGCTCATCCGTGAATCGAACCTATTGCTTCTCTTCTAAGATGCGACTAATATTCTTACCAATATTTGCGTTCTCGAAACCTCCTTAAACAATGATATCTGTAACCTTTAATTGTTATTTCTGCACAGTATTATCTTCCTTTTTGTATAGTTTTGCCATTGGAAATCAGAAAATGCAAGTATGTAGAAGGAACAACCACAAACTGGTATTGTAAAATATAAATAAATAAAATTTATTTTTATATGTACGCTCTAAAACAAAAAATCGACGCACACCAAGAAGGAGTTGTCCGATTGAAACGAAAACTGATCGATAGGAAGACAATCTACAGAATAGTAAATGATTGAAATTTCAGAACAATTGAATAATTTATTGCAGAGTTACAGTAACAAGTTCAATAAGGTGTTGACCCGCCTCTAGCCTGGATACAAGCTGCCACACGGCGTGGCATAGAGCGATAAAGTTCCAGGTTGGTTTCTTGTGGTATTTCCCGCCAAATTCTACCCAATTGTCGAACGAGGTTATCTACATTCCGTGCCAAATGCAATCGCCTTCCCATCATATCCCAGGCATGTTCGATGGGAGAGAGATCTGGTGATTTGGCAGGCCAAGGAAGAGTTTGAAAAGCTTGCAGACAGTTAGTTCATAGCAACACGTGCCGTATGTGGTCTGGCATTGTCCTGCTGAAAAACCAGCCCAGATCGCTGCAAAAAGAACGGTAGCAAAACAGGTCTTAGGATGTCGTCGACGTACCGCTGTGCAGTAACTGTACCTCTAATGACGACCAAAGGGGTCCGGCTGTCAAAGGAAATGGCACCCCAGACCATAATGCCTTGTTGAGCGCCGGTGTGGTGTGCAATAGGGAAGACAGGATCCCCCCTCTGCCCTGTGCGTCTCCAAACACGTCTTCGATGATCGTCAGGACACAGTTGGAAGCGGGATTCGTCGCTAAAGACTATACGTCCCCAGTCGGCATCATTCCAGCCTGATCGAGCTTCGATTTTGCGCTCCTTAGTGCGTTCTTGGTGCATAGATTTTTTGTTATAGAGTGTAATTAATTTTAGTAAAATATATATTCAAGAAAAGGAGTGGATCAGGGAATAGAGGGCTTGCTTTGCAATGAGGTCGTGTAAGTTAAATCCCAGGAATCGACGCTGCTCTCGGCACGCGCCAATCTCAATGGTGAAGTAAGATAATCTTAGTGATGGACGGGTTACTGGCCAGTGTTTCCTTTCCTTCAAATGTAAGCAGGAGAAGTTTTCGTGGTTTTTCTCTCCATGAAACGTAAATGCGAGTTGGTTCCATTAAAAAGTCCTCCATGGAGGCTAGTTTGACCTAATGTTTGCTACAGAAATTCTCTTGCCTTATGGTTTGGGTTCAAAATTACCAGGCAGCTAAGTTGAATATTGAAAGTCATCAACCCAAAAATGGATAGTCAGTTCAACACCGGATATAAAATGTAATAAACGAGTTGGAAATGTGTTTAGCCATTGTCTGGTCTGCTTATAGATCTATTGTAGCAACATGATGTGTTAGACATGATTTCAATTCAGTTTAACTTAAAAGTTTCTTCCATATTATCATTTTCAGTTTTTTATTCTATTGGGGAGACAGAAACATTTCGTGATAGAGGTTTTGGAGACTTTGGAACACACAGAATTGTATAAATATTCCTTTCGTGCATGAAAGATACCATCTATTTGTTGAAATATGGATTATTTTTGTTTCGGATTTTTTTCCTTGGTGTTTCAAAACCAAATTTCATCGTCTCCCACTCACCACGAATGGACACTATGTTGGTTTATAAAAAGAAACTTTATAAAAGAATTTCAACAGCATTTCTATTTATTAGCATAAAGGACAATAAAAATTACATTTACTTTGCATTCTTAAATATATTTAATCCTCACACGATTGTAGTTGAAATTTTCGTGTAAGACACAAAATAAGAAATGAATTAAAACCTATAACGAATTAAAAACTCAAGAACTGATAAATTTATTAGTTATATAAACTTTGAGAACAACCTTGAGATTCAAAACTCTTTAAAACAAGTACAGTTGAAGATATTAGTTAAATAATACTAACTAACTTATTAGGTAAAGTTATATAACGTGAAAAAGCACTAATAATACCGCTAAAAGAGACAAAGATTTCCGGTAATTATTCCAATTGTGAAAAAAATCTATAAGTTTAGTCGCTAATTTTTCTAGCGTTCCATATTTTTCAAAATTTTAGAAATCTATTTCCTTTCAATTTCTACTTAATGCAATGTCTGGGGTTCTTACCTTACCCTTCGCAACACCTGTATCTTATATACTTTGTTTTGCTTCAAACTCGATCTCCATACATTAAGCCTCTTCTTCCTTGTTGCAACTTGCTCGACATTATCTTTTGCTTCTATGGGTTTCCCTCTTTTATTTTGTATTTCAACAAAGAAGTAAATTCTTCGTTACAGAATCTACATGTTTTTGCCGTGTTATTTGTGCTTTTTTCACTTTGTTTAATTTTTCTTATATATAACACCAAAAAACTCTTCCTTCACTTAATTTTTCAGAATAATTCCAAAAAAAATTGAAATTAAAAAAAATAAAATAAATTTTACTTACTTGCAAAAAGTGAAATCACTAGTGTCATCCGCCTGAAACTTCGAACGACAATCGGTGAGACTTTTTAAGAAGCATGCTGAATCAGATGCTGCTAATTTGACCAATACTGAAAAATTTATGAATATTATTCATCATCAGATCTGCAGAAGGTATTCATTTAAATTATAAGCTTAGATATGCGGTTGGTATTTTAAAAAACTGCAACGTATGTTAAATTTGTCCAATATTGCATGATTTCTTTTTCTAATTTAAACAAAAATCGTATATTTTTTAAGACACTGCATGAAAATTGTATAAATATGTCTTTAAAATTCTGAAATATCTATTTTCCTCATTCTCGTTTTGAGTAAATGTTAGCATTATAATTAGAAAAATTTTTTTCATTAAAATTGTCTTGGCTTTATAATTTTTATCATTATTCACTAGTGTAAAACATATTTTTTAATTAATTTTTGCTGCCTTTAATGAATTCTAAGAGAAATAAATATGAGTAGGAAGAACCAGTTTGCATGTGAAATAGCAAATGGAAGTACATATGAGGAAAAACGGTGAATACTGAAATTTTATAGATATAAGGAACACAGTTTACATGTGTTATTGCAATTAAAATTTTATATCGCATTTACTTCTTAAAATAATTTCCATGGCTGTTGTATTATTTTCATCATAATCAATAGAATACTGTTCTTGGATTATCTCTTTTCTTGTTCATGCATGAAAAATTCACAAAAAAAAGAAAAACTTTTAAAGCCAAAAAAAATCAAATAAAAAATGTGTTCAACTAAATTTTCGTGAGTTTTTAATACATGAATGAGCAAGAGATTTAGATTATAAACATAATTAATTTCAATATTTTACAGGAAGTCAATTTTGTAAAATTAATTCCAGTATATACTGTATTTTCGTATGGGTAATAGCATGTGCTTTTTCACTTTTTTTCAGTAATCAGTAGCATGGTTTCAATGCGTAACTCATGAAAATATGCAGGAAACAAAGTCAATGTATGCAAGTAAAATTACAAGTGTTGCCATTACTTGCATGGAAAAAATATCTTATTCTTTATTCAATTTATATTTTATTGTGCATAAAAATATTTTCCACGTACAGTGCGCAAAAAAATAAATAAACAAAAATAAACGGACCACCGTAAATAACTTTAAATCTAATGATCAGATCTTTACGTTCTAGAACTAAATATTAAAGGTTTGAAAAGGTAACCTCAAATATGCTAAATAATAAGTGCGAACTATATTTTTTAAGTTACGAAATCAAACGCGAAAACGTACCTTCTCTGGGTAAACATATCTTTTTCCCTATGGATTCGAATTTCTGACCCCCAAAATATAGGGGGTAGTCGCAATCATGACAATATGGTTCCAAAAGCTTGGTCAGAGGTTTAAGTTTACTGTGTGCGTATTTCGCCCTATCTCTGGAAGTTTTTAAGCGAAATGAAAAAAATGTTTGCCTACAATTATAAATCTTTTTTATCCAAAGATAATTTCCTGCAAAATATAACTCTTAGTAAATATTTATCATTTTTTATTATTTTATTAAATAATGGCCGAAAAAATTTGAATTCTAAGGGAAAGAATTTTTCAAATAGTTTTAAAAAAATGCCATTCTACGTGGCAAAATACGAAATTTGAGTGAAATTGGTCGAATAGTTCCAGAGAAATCAACTTTTACAAATATCACTTTTTAAAAATGATTATCAAAAGTCATATCTGGACAGCTAATTTGTTTCTTCGCATAGAATAAATTTTAAGAAATACTTGCCATACATTATGTATTATTTTTATTAGCACCAGTAAAAAAAGGTTTATTTTAAACTCTAAAATGATACATCTTCTTAAAATATTTTTTTAAAAAAAAGTATTTTCATTTTTATGAGAAGGAAAATTAAAACAAGAACATATTCTGATATTAATAAAGTTAATAAGCCTATTTTTCACTTACCAAACGCGAATGCCCAATACAACTTCATAGCTTCAGGTATATATTAGTAAAAGAGCACCTTTAAAAATATGTTGATTGAAACTAAACTTTACAGATAGCATATCTTTTACAAAAGAATTGTATTAATCTAAAAATAAATCAAAATCAAAAGATTAAAGGTTTACTAGATATCTTAAGAGCACTTCGTAATAATTATATCAGAATTTTATCACCGATAAACTTTCATACCACAAATAGTGACATAAACTTCTAACCGTATGAAATATTACCTACTTACTCAAGTGATATTTGTATATTAAACAAACTCGAAGATATAATTTGAAGTGGTTTTGCAAAAATGGAAAAATATTCCCATAATAAAAACTTTCAATTTAAAGTAAAGCTTCTGTTTTATATTATATGTTTTAACTTTATGCTACTTCATATATGCGTGTGACTTTAGTTTTAGCTTGGCAAAAAAAATTCTATTTTTTTAAAACAGACTAACAGCTTAGATATTAAAAGAAGTAGGGTAAACTAACCAGTGAAGGCTTGTCTTTAAAAAAATCATGAAAATTCTGAAATTTGTAATTTTAGTTAAATAATAGTGTTAATATATTTCCTATTAAATGCAAATTATGTAAAAGAATTTTTAGGGAACTTATATAATATTGTTTTAAGCTTTTCGTGGTCCAAATAATAAGTAGTAAGATAACCAAGTGAAGGAACAGTTTTTACCAGTAAAAGAACGCAAAATTTTCCAGTTAAAGAACACTTAATTTTGTGACTTCATTCACTTTATGAATTCATTAGCCATATAAATGCTTTAAAACAAGACCTTTTATGAAATTACAACATATAACCACAAGTAATGCGGAAAATTTAAAAATTTTTCGACTGATTTTTTGTTTGAAATTTTACTTTTTTTCGTGAAATGGAAAGTAAAGTGGAGTTAAATACAGAATAATTTTTTTTTTCATTTTCTTTCTCACAATTTGGTAGTTGATTCTGAATAATGAATGTTTATCATAATGTTATCCAATGATGTTTTTATTATTATTATTATTATTTTATCACTTTTCCAAATTCCTCACTGGATAATACACCAGGGAAAGGAATTTCGAAGTTTGAGGAAAATCTGTCTCTCGTTGACTTAGTCTAGTAGGTCTTCAGCAGTACTTACTATTGTCTGACTTTGATTACTTGTAGAATCAATTGTTTTTGACTAACTAACAATGCCTCAAGAGGATATATCTCAAAATCAGTTTTCAAGATACATTCATTATTAAAGTTAGCTGTTTCAGCTTCAGTGCGAAAGTTTGATTTAACCATATGTTCTTTTCGCAATAAATTCTTCCATATTGAGAAAAGCACAGGCTATTGGATATTTGGAAGATTAGACTCTTCTGTCAGTGTTCCTTTAAAAATTTATAACATATCTTGAGAGATTTCATTCTTAAGCTTCTGAAGAAATTGTGAATCGATACTCTTAAAGTATGTGTTTTATTGATAAGCTTTTTTGGTCATTAACACGTGTCTGTCTTGCATGCATTTGGTAAAGTCACATTTTCAACATCAAATGCAAAAATACTTCATTTCTTCACAGTATTTCAAATTTTAACTTCATCAATTGATGCCTCAAGAGCTTATTTAAAAATGGGTATAAAATTCACTCTACATATTGTTTCACAAATCTTTTATTTTCAAGATCTAACGGAAGATTTACATAAAGCTTTTAAAGCCCGAAATACGCCTACATCACAAGGTTGGAGTACATTAGTAGAATTAGGTAAAAAGCTAAACCAGAGAATTTATTTTTATGAACAAAACTTGCTCATTTTCAAATTGATAAGCGACTTATGCCCATCTAGATTAAGCAAAATAGGGAATTTGATAGCATTTTTAATCAGCTATGGGTAGAAGCATTTGCAATATATTCGTAAAATGTTGCTACGGTCATCGATTCCCTTCTGAATAACTTTTTCCAATGAAATATATAGCAGGAACAGATTCTGCAATACTTCGAGGAATTCTTCAGCAAAGAAAAACTACCATTAGAGGTACTTCTTTCCACCAGCTGAAATGTTGATCAAAGCTGTTGTTTTTTCTTTTTCTTTCCTAAGAACTATAGAATATAAATCCTTATAATTTTAGCGCCAAAGGTTTTTCCTGTTTAAGGACAATATGCAACTCCTGTAGATGCGATCACTTTCTAAAGGAATGCCAGGGCCACCTTCCTCTTCAAGATTTCTCTAAAGTTCTTTAAACCACTCTGGAACTTTTTTCTCTGTAAGGGAAGCTTTGCTTTTTGAAATTATATTCGCATTGCGTTGATGTCGTCTTAAAAAAAGCTTCACCCATTTTTCACCTGGATGATTGTCTTTAAATGGATTTTTCCTACCCGTTTCCGTTATGACGTTAAAAACCGCATTAGGATAATAATTTAGCTAATTATTGGCACGGAAGCTAGCAAAGAAATATTCTATTCAAGTTTTTATTATTATATTTATCTAGTTTTAGATTAGTAAACTTAGTTTATTAAGCTGTCTAACGTATGATGTAACTAAACATTACATTTATAAAGATAAATAATAAATAAATTATAATTATAATTCTTTTCATAAATTTGGCAATTGAATTAGCATTTTGAAATGAAGTTATTTAGCAATTATTCATACAACATTTAACAGAATTTTAGGCGTCCTCTATATCGAAGAACTACTAATTATCTTAGAGCCACGTAAAATCATATTTCACACATACTGTTCATTCACTGGCAAATCTATTCCCAGTGAAGGAACATGCCTGTTTCTTCACAGCCTAGAAGTTGTTTTGCGTATTTTTCAACAGAATTTTATTGTATAATAGGGCTAAAGGTACAAGAAAATTAAAATGCTCTTTTATTTTCCTTAACTTGGAAAAATTTCAGTAAAGGAACACTCGTTCATTCATTGACTTTACATCATTTGGTAATCCAGTTAATAAAACCCCTTAATTTCAGTACTTACTTATACTATGATACTTAAAATAAATAAAACATAACTTCTATAACCATATTTTGAATTCTCTTTTTCACAGAGAGAAAAATAACATTTCACATGCAATTAATTGAACTTAAAACAAATAACTACAAACACTGACCTTATAATTTTGTCAAAGAAACAATGCGTTGTAGAGATACTAACAAATTCAAAATTTTTTGACTATATGACCAGGTAACCAAATGCATTGTTAGATGACTTCCTATTGTTCTATATGTAAGCTACTGTTACCAAAGTAAAAACTTTTAAAAACTTAGTTTTAAAAAATATCTATAAAATGTTAATTTACTTGTTGCTTAACTTCTTGGTTTACCCTATCAAACTTTTTACATCATTTTTCTTTTTTTTTTCCATTTTTTCATTTATCTATATTCATTGAAATCAATGAAACTAGCTCTCAAAATTTGACTATTTTAATGAGCCGAAAGAAACGCATGGTTGAAATAATTTTTCAAAAAATTTAAAATCAAGATATCAAACACTTTTAATTTTCGCTAAAGTGGGGTTTTCTTTTATCCAAACAATTTTTGCGATTTTCATGAAACGCTCTGACTAAAAATATCCAATACTTAACAGAACAGTCATCTTTTTTTCGTGCTATTTCTTATACAATTTTTGTACAATTCTTATACAATTTATTATACAATTTTTGTGCTATTTCTTATAATTAGTATATTTTATTTTGTAACCGTCGTTGAACAGCCGACCCAATTTTTAGTTTCCAGCTACCAATTTTTATCTCTGTAACTTTCTAATTTTGAACCCAATCTAGAAGACAAGGAAATTCCTGGACTAAATATTGGGAGAAATGTGCCTTCATGGAGGACTTTTGATAAAACTAACCCGTATTTGCGTTGCATGGAGAGAAAAACCACCAAAACTTTCCACGATTAGCCCGACGGCAAGGGGACTCTAAGCCGTGATCCATCTACCATTGAGGACATTTTTCGTCAGCGCTCTGGTCAATGCAAGCCGGTGCGGATTTCGAATCAACCAGTCATCGCTGAGATTCGAACCCGGGTCACCTCATTGGAAGGTGAATGCTCTATCCCCTGAGCCATCACGGCTCCTATAATTATCATAGACCGCACTGAAAAAAAATAGGCAACAGTTTTATCATGAAGTTTTGTGCTATTTTCATTATTAGCATAGAGCGCTCTGACTAAAAAATGGGAAATACTTAACGGAACAGTCATCTTGGATTTTCGTGCTATTTTCATAATTAGTAAAGACCACACTGACTAAAAAATGGGCAATACTACACAGAATAGTCATCTTGGCCTTTTGTGCTATTTTCATAGACCGCACTGACTGAAAAATAGGCGATTCTTAACCGGGCAGTCATCTTGGCATTTTGAGCTATTTTCATAATTAGCATAAACTGTGCTGGCTAAAAAATAAGCAATACTTAAACGGTCATCTAGGCTTTTTGTGCTATTTTCATAATTAGCATAGACCGCTCTGACTAAAAGACAGGTAATACTTAACCTAAAAGTCATCTTGACCTTTTGTGCTACTTTCATTATTAGCATAGACCGAATTTAGCCTAACCGTCATAAATCACTTTTGCAAACATAGTATATTCAAAATAGTACATAATATAGTAAAAATAGCATATTACAAACATGGTTAGTATATTACAGAAAAGAGTTATTTCATATGACTACCAAGTCTAAGATGAAAACCATAACCAATATTTTGAAGTCCCAGAAATGTTAACTATTTTTCAAAATAAAGTTTGATACTATACATAAACATACTTAAAATGTTAACAATTAATGCATGAGTTCTCGCGAAAAATACTTTGAAAAATGATTAAAAACTTACCTTCACAAATTGTTCGTACCACGATAATCAATGACTAACTTCATTTTCTAAATGGAAAACATTTATAAAAAAAAATCTTTAAATATATTTGCATAGAGATAAAGAGAGATATATATCTCAACCATAAGTAGTTTGATGAACTCTTAAAGTGTTGAGATAGATTTGCACGTGTAGGAAGTTAAATAAGGTTTGATGCGTTTTATTTTATTTCGGACTACATCGGCAATCTAAATCACATGACAATGAAATGAATACTCACTTCCCTTTAACATTCTTTTTATAAGTAGGCAAGCAAGGACAGAAGTAGATTGTTAATATTAAAAATGTTGATTATAATTCTTTTACTATTTTTTTAGGAACGTGTGAAGATTCATGCAGTTTCTTGCACGATGAACTAAAATGGAGGAGTTAGGGGAATTTAATCGGTAAAAATTCCTTTTAATAAAATAAAACAATAGAAATTTAAAAACTGTGTTTTTTTGAGTGATCTAAAGCGGATAAATAAAATTCTTTTTTTTAAGACTTTTTAAAAAAAATAATAATACTTGTCTTTAATTAACGTAGTCATCCCTTGACATAGAAAAACGTAGAGACATTAACAGCGGTGATTGAAGTTTATAATGAAAGAGATACGCCCTTTCTTTTTTAGTCTGACTAAAGTAAATTATTTTCTTCTTTTTTACACTGAGAATAAAGTATGGTTGAAATTACCAGAATATGGTAAAAATTACCCTGTTACTGGCTCCATGGGAGCACCAGAAAACTTGGCAATTTTAACTTGGTTACGATTTTGGTAAAATTAGCAACTAAATATGGTTTTAAAACAGGTAAAAAAGGATTTGGTAATTGTGGTAACACCGTAATTTTATAACGATGTAATAGAGCATCGCATAGAACATATTTATTAGATTAAGTTTACTTCTTAGTTTTGTATTTTTCAGGATATGTGTGATAATAAGAACTGCAATTTAGATAACCTTGATTTTTAGTAAACCGTTACCATATGTACGGAAAATTGCCAAATGAATGGTTTTTATACCGTTTATTTTTTTTTTATTCAATAATTATGTTTCTTTTCCACCAGAAATGTTATTCCCATTCAGTAAGGTAATTTTACCATAATTAGTCTCTTCGATTATTACTGGCATCATAATATCATGCAACCTTCTTGCAAAACAATTGAAATAAATCTTTAATACGATTCCGTTGAAGTGAAATATAGTATTCTGAGAAATGTTTAAGAGGAAAACGATTGTATACTTAATACTATATTAAAGTTGAAACTGATTTAAATATTTTGCAACTAAATTTTGACCAGTGTGAGGAATAGTGAAACAAAAACAATGGAAATGAACAGTGGTCACTAGAGAAAAAGATTGCTTTTGCTGCAAAATCATCGTGATTTATTATCTAATGATTACTCTTAGAGAAAAATGTTTGTAATGTTTTTATAGAAATTTTTAAGCATGTAGCATATTTTGTTTACTAAATATTTAACTGAAAGTGTGGTAATAAGAATTATACTCTTGAGAACAAGAATTTCCGGTTAAGCGTAACCATGAGAACGAAAAAATTTCCAAATGAATGCATTTTGATTTCATTTTCCGAAATTATTTTCTTTTAATCTTTATTTTAATTTTGCCACAAATGTCATTACCATACATTACGGTAATTTTCCTAGAAATTTTTTCTCTCTGTAGTTAATATGCGAAACGTAATTTCTATTTGCATTTATCATATATATATGTAACCCTTATAATTGTCAGTTCTTCCAAGGATTACAAAAAAAAAAAATACATTAAGCACGATGATTACTGTGCACCAATAATTCTGAATGATGAGTCTTATGTAACTTCAATTCATTGTTTTTATTTTAATGCATCTAATTAAGATATCAAAATAAACATATTTTTGATAGATTTCGTGAAGAAAATTACAAATGTAATTCAATTTCAATCTCCCCTTTCTGTTGTCAATCCAAGATCTATCTTTTCTTGCAAATCACACACTTTCTTTCGTAGTTCTGCGGAAGCTTTATAAGCAGCTTGAAATGCTTTCTCAGTGTCTCGAGAGCATTTTGAGAAAATCCTGTCTGCACATTCTTGTGCTATGTCAAAGGTTCTATGAAAGACAACAAGAAACAAGTGAGAAAAATTACAAACAAGATTTACACTAATCATGGAATTATTCAAATTTCATACTTAACAATTGATTTAAATTTCTAACGATTACTCCTGTAGTTAACTTTAATCTTGAACATAATTTTGAACTTGATTAAAATTAGTGATTCGAATAATGAAGAACTTTACTATTTTTTTATACGCATCAATTTATTCAAATAAAAGCAGACCTATATAAAGAATTATTCATAATATCCTCCGGGGTTTCGAATCATTATAGTAAAAAACGAAGACGAATATGGCAAAAAAGAAGATATGAAATTATTCCGAAAGTATTCAAGTTTTAATGTAAGCAGTTGCCGGTAGATGGCAGTAACATGTACCACTGAAGCCAGTTGTAGTAAAGAAAAATGGCGTCTACAGGCGGAGGGAATTATGAATAACCCTATATATTTATTCCGGTGTATTCTTTGCCTGTTTCAGTAACTCCTCTGTTTTAAAATGAAGCTAATTTTCATTATGAAATGTCTCAGAAGCATTTTAAGTACACTCGGTCCCTTGATTCTAATTTTTTATTCCACTGTCACCGTAGGTCTCAATAATGTTTTATCTTGGGTTACTGTAAGCTACAGCAAAATTACTGTAAAGGAAAGTTGAAAAAAAAATTATACCTGACAAAAAAAGTGAGAAATTGGAACAGTCAATCACTGATTTTAATTAACATCGCTTATTATTTTTCTTAACGTAATTAAGGAAGAAAGTTGATTATCAGATAGTTGACTACAGCTAATGATTTTAATAAATAATGATTACGACTGTAAGTTGATTTCAAATATTAAACATAGTTTAGAATCTGATTCAAATACTGATAACGGATTAGAATCGGTCAATACACACAAATAGGTTTATTAGTATTGAATCAGAGCATCCATTGGTTTACTTATCGTATCAAATTCTCTGTATTTAATTAAAAGTTGCAAACATTTAATTGAACTTATTTCGACAAGATGTTTTATCTTGGTTTACGCATTTTTAATGTTTTCTAAGCTTTTTCAAAACACTTAACAGAAAATTAGGAAAGATGTATCCTGTATTGCTGATTTAAATAAATAACAGACGTCTCTAAAGTTTATGATTATCAATGATTTGAATAGGCATATTTTTGATGATGATTCAATCTTAAGTTGAAGAAAAATTGTATCTTATTATTATTTTAATTTGTCTAAAATCTGCAAGTCTATATCAAGTCTTCTGATAGGTCAAATATACTTATTAACTATTCTGTCCTTTTGCAGAAGAAAAATCAGGATTGTTTTCTGTTGTTTAAAATATCTTGAATAAATTAACTCTTTAGAAAAAGATGCAACTGATAATTTCAAACATTTATTCGAATCATCTGAGGAATTGATTCGGTTTATTTTGAGTTCTCGCTATATTTAACGCTAGCTACAAAATTAATTTGCATGCAACCAATTTGAATTCTACTAAGCAATTTTCACAATTTAAAGCATATGTTTTGATATGCAAGTTTCAGTACATTTTTAATCTTGTAGTTCAAACTTCATAGCGTGAAGAAAGTAGCACCTTTCATATAACTCTGGGGTCAAAAATATTTTTTAACAGATTTTGAAAAACTTATGAATATCTTTCTATGCACTTTCTTAACTTCTGCAGTAGACCTGTTTAATTTTATTTAATTGTTTTTATGCCATTTTGACAAAAACGAAATTATTTTAATTAATATGTTTAATAGATATTTAAATAATGAAACTACCAATATTAAATAAATTTAAATTATACTGAAAATGTACTAGACACTGAAATGTAAAATGATTTAAATAATATTGCACAAAAATTACTTACTGGCATATAGTACCTTCCTCTACGTCACAATATTTTAAATCTAACCATGTATCGAAGCTGCAATTTTTATCTTTTTTCACAGCTAAATAAACAAAATAATTGAATTAAAAAATTAATTAAAACTTACAAAATAACAAATAAACAAAATAATTGAATTAAAAAATTAATTAAAACAAATATATCAAATAAATAGAAATAGCATTTATTGAAAATTAACGAAATATTTTAACTTTTTAAAATGCAATATTCATTTTAAAATAAACTTTTAATCTCTTTCTAGTTAAATTATTGCTAATTCTTATTCCGGAGTTTAGTTTAAAATGAACTGTGAAAGAGGATACATTTATGAAAAGCTACTTGTTTATCAAAAAAGCATAAAATTCTCTATAATAACATAGAACAAAGCAGTTAAGTAACCTTTTTGAAAACTGGGTATATTCAATAGGGTAGTTATTGATAAACTGGCAACGGTCCTTTTTTCTTGTCGCGTTTAAAACATATTCAAAAGAATTGAGAAAACTTGCATGAATTATGCACTAAGTTTTTTTTAAAACTTAAATTTAAAAAAAAGCGTCCAAATTCAACCAGTATATTTCTTAAAGTTTATTACATGCATTTACAATAGTCAATGTACATTTTTGTCAATTTAACCGAATTTCACTTCGAGATCTTTCACCTACTATATATTAATATTTTAAAACTATTATGGACTAAGAATATTTTGTATTCCAAAATGTAATTTGTCGTTAAAACAGCGTTTGTTCTATTCAATCAAGCTATTGACTTCAGCAGCAAACGTTAAAGTATCACAAATTTTAAATTTATTGGCTTTGATGATGACAATTTTTAATAAATCTAAAAAAATTAAAAATAATAAAAATAAACTCAAATATTAATAAGAAATGATGAATATTTTTTTAATGAACTCTAAAAAAATGTACCTTCATTGGCTGCTGTACCTTCTGTACAAACATCAATTTCTATGGCTAATTCTTTTTCCGCTATTTCGGCAAATCCAGTATGGCAAATCAATGCAGCTTCAAGATCTCATCTTGTCATATTTGGAGTTGTACTGCAAATGTATAGATCAGAATCATTCCTCCAACATTTGAAATTCTTTTGATTTATTAATACTGTACTGCATCATTGATATTGTAC